CATTCCTGATCAGGGATTTTGCTTGTTCCCCTTTGCTGTCCACAAACCAACCTCAGGAAATGCAGCAGTGTGAATAGGGAATGGGAAACAGGGAACAGAGACAAGGAGACAGGCTGAAGCTTGGGGGAGTTTTTGTTTTCCTTTAAGCAACAACCTGTTCGGATTTTTGTCAGCATTTTTCTTCCTAAGCACACTGCTGACAGCAAGAGTGGAAAAGAAAGCCTAGTGGGTCCGTGGCTGCCAGGCTTCTGACCAAGGAGTCAAGACACACCGCTCAATATGCTGTGTCAGCTTAGACAGTTACTCCTGCCCAGTTTTTCTGGCTGCACAATGGGAAAATGAGGCTAATAATAATCTTCATTACTACAACAAAGCATGAGTCCAGGAGAAGAAGAAAAGTAATGAAGGGAATTATATGATACAGAAATGCACTATCCAAAGAAGCTGGGATTTCAGGAAAACTTTTTACTGTCATCCAGGGATCTAGCAACTCACCAAGGAATAAAAGATATTCTGCAGTTAAACAGGACCAGATACATTCACTGAAACACATATCTTGTGTCATATGTTTCCTTTACAAAGTTTTTGCTTAAAAAATAAAAAAAGGAATATACGTAATCTGATTTCATTTAAAAAAAGGATCCTATACTCTTATCTACTGATTTCTAATTGCATGAAGGGATAGATACACACTACCTTCTATTCATTAACTTTAATCAAAAGAATTCTTGGTTGTTTCATTTAAGGCGGATTTAATCAAGCAAGGTTGGCTCTGAAGTGAAATTACAGTCTTTAGACTGCGGAACAATTAATTTAGAGTTTTGCCCTGCAACAGGTCCCTGATGAAATACTAAATTAATAGATTCCAATAGGGCATTTCAGATAGGTAATTTTAAATACAATTTAGGTGTTTTCTCTTAAGATGTATAGGCAAAACCTTTGTGCAAAACTTGCATGCTATTTTTCCAAACCTCAATGGAAATGTAAGATATTGGTCAAAAGACTATCTATTATACCAACAAATGCCAAAGCAAAAGTGTTCACATTGCAACTATGTATGTATCACACTAGAGATCAAAGACTTCTCCTCAGGTTCATCTCACACAAAAATGTACACATAATGTGCTTTCCTACCAACAATGTATTGTGAAGCTTTTGATTATTCAGCATTTGTACCAGCTAGGATAAATAAAGGAACTTCATGTTTTACATAAACTCTGCATTTATTATGATTTTAAATAGCAATCCTCATAATTTGGCGTGCTCTGGGATCTTTTACCCAAAGTAATTTCATCTCCATTATGATGAAATATGCCCACTTATAATCTCAAGGTGAAATAAGGTAACTCTACATGACAATCTTAAAACAAAGCAAACCCTACAGCCAGCCCCCCTGACTCTAGTTGCCTTGAAAGGTACCACAACCCCCCCCTCCTGTCTTCAGCACTTCTCCTACTATGGTAAGAATCCGAGAGGTGAGATGTAGTAAAAAACACATCAAAACTGTCCTGCAAAGGATGTTTTGGACAAATCTTTTTACAGTTAGCTGCAAGGAAAATTTCCCGGACTAAAGCCAAAGTGAGTCAAATAAAATACAGTTTAGATATCTGCACTAGAACCAGCTCTCAGATTGTCGTACGCTTAGTTAATTGGAAGAGTAGTTTTGCTCCTACAATAACTCCCAGACTATCTGCTTCATTTTACCAAATCAGACTGAGAGCTGCAATTTAGTTTTAATGTAAAGAAAAAGAGCCTGCAAGGCCATTTCAATAACCAACTGCTAATTCCGGCAAATACTGTAGTCAGGCTGTTTGACTGATATGACAGCTTAAGTTGTCTTATCCCTCACACAGGTGTACATTGGAGTTTGAACGTTAATTTGTTATGTGCAGGCTTAACAAAGAAATAAATGTAAATTAAAAAAAGAAACTACTGTTGCTCAGAGATGACCTGTGGAAAGCACTGGACTAGCCAAAGCTGTACTATCCCACTTCAAGCCAAAAAGTTCAGGAAAAAAACCATGAAGTCACAGCCTATTCAAGATGTATAAATACCCGGTGTAAAAACTGGAAAAGCAGAGTAATTTCTTTGTCACCCACCCTCAGGATGACACCTTGTGCTGGTTTTGGCTGGGATAGAGTTCACTTTCTTCATAGTAGCTAGTATGGGGCTATGTTTTGGATTTGTGCTGGGAACAGTGTTGATAACCAAGGGATGTTTTAGTTATTGCTGAGCAGTGCTTATGCAGAGTCAAGGCCTCTTCTGCCTCTCACCCCACCCCACCCCACCAGTGAGCAGGCTGGGGGTGCACAAGAGTTTGGGAGGAGGGGACACAGCCAGGACAGCTGACCCCAACTGACCCAAGGGATATTTCATACCATGTGACATCATGCTCAGTGTGTAAAGCTGGGGGAAGGAGGAGGAAGGTGGGGGACATTCCGAGTGATAGCGTTTTGTCTTCCCAAGTAACCGTTATGCGTGATGGAGCCCTGCTTTCCTGGAGATGGCTGAACACCTGCCTGCCCATGGGAAGTAGTGAATGAATTCCTTGTTTTGCTTTGCTTGTGTGCACAGGTTTTGCTTTACCTATTAAACTGTCTTTATCTCAACTCACAAATTTTCTCACTTTTACTCTTCCAATTCTCTCCCACATCCCACCAGGGGGAGTAAGCGAGCGGCTGCGTGGTGCTTAGTTGCTGGCTGGCGTTAAACCACAGCACAGTTCTACTAATGATCTTACAATACAGAGTATTTGTTCAGAACACTTACCAGTCTGACATTTGTCAGGCTGTCATCTATGTTTAGTCAAAGTCAGCTCAGACGTTGGGTGAGAATATACATTTTTGTTGGCCTGGAAGTTGTGCTTTGCTTTTTCTAAAAATGCTGTATTAGCTCATTAGCTCTTGACTAAACATGTGGAACAATCAACTAAGCTTTTATACCATACCACAGCTGTAACAACACATCACCTGTGAGGCTTGAAAGAGATTGCAAAGGGTTTTCAGCAAATCAAGATACAGGATCAGGTATGAAAGCCAACTGAATACAATCCATGCTTCTGCTTGTTACCAAGGCCTAATGCCCTCACCTTTTACCTGATCAAATTTCCATGTGAGAAAGACACCACGGTCAACAGGCCAAGAAACCACATCCTTTACAGAGGCAATCCATTCATTTACTACTTTCCCGTTAGCCCACTGAATTGTGCTCAAGGTTCATACCAGATTGAAAGCCACGAGGCAGTAACAGCCAGTATTTTAAATAGAAGTGGTGCCTGTGCCATCTTCCACTGTCACACTTTCTCTGCCTGCCAAGTACTTTCCCAGTATAACTTAAGATGTGCTTTGAGCCTTTAAAGCATCACGTGACTTTGGAAACCATCACTACTGAGGTGGTTTCTCCCACTCTTCACCGAGAAGGCTGCGCCTATGTTAGCTGAAACTCTCCAGCTGTTGGCAAGCCTAGAGCAAACTGCTGCAAAATATATAATGAAAATACCACAATTAGAGATCCAGACGTAAAGGGGTTTTGACCAGCTTGTTGCATCGAATTCCTCATGGCAAGGACGGTAACATTTGCTTGCTTCCTTATCCTCTTTATGTAACTTTCCCTTAGCCATGGGGGATCTTCAGTTTCTCCAATATCGAGTTATTTGTCAGGATTATTGAGTGGCATGACCAAGTGTACTATCTCGCATATGGCAAAACATATTCATGTGAACAGTGGTCATTTATTATTAGGTTTGCAAAATATATAGGTAATAAGTTTTAATGACTTAATTTAGTTACAATAGGTACAATTTAATTTTAAGTTAAAAACTGGCTATATAGAGAGCTGTAAGTACTATATGACCACAATCACACAGCAGTTTTAACATTTAGAAACATTACAATAAAATATGTTAGTAAATCAATGAAAGGTCAGAAAGATTAAGGGATTAAATTTCTTCCTGGTACAAAAATATACAAACTGAGTACAAGACTGCAATGTGGCCATGCCTTTATGCCCTCTATAGAGGACACGAAACAAAAAACAGATTACATTTTGTGCTCCATGTAAGACAGCCTCACATCAAAAGTCAGTGGGAGGATGTTTTGTTTGTAGATCAAAGAAAAGGTGAAGTACGTAGAAAAAATTCAAAACATGCAAGAAAAGATTCCAGTTGGAAGCAATCTACTTTTATATTAATTTCTCTAAAGCTCTACTTAATGATACTTTAGCTCTACAAAGAATATAATTCTTAATGACTTGCATGATCAGGTAATCTCTACGTGGCTACAATATAGTGGCGGGGTGTACTGTTTAGTCTTTGTTCACACCTCTTCTTTCCCAAAACCCCACCTCCTGCCCCTGGGCTGCAGTAACACATGCATTAACATAGAAATATAATGACCTAATGTGTGATAGGAGTCAGAATTATGCCATCCACATGGCACTGCAGAAAAACCAAAAAACCCAAACCCTCATAAACACAGTAACCTTGTCCAGAATAAAATTAATTTTTAAAACTAACTGAAAGAAAAAAATACATTCAGAAAGCTGGGTTACAAAATAAAGCTCAAAGATGCCTAAATATTGCTTCCCTTCTGTCATGAGATATTTGGATATAGTAACTATGATAAAATAGTAAATCTTCAGCTAACAAATTGCATTTAAAGTAGCAATATTTTTTTTAATCTTGTCTTGCACAGAGACCATCTGTCTACAGTGAACACTTACCTCACCCACAACCTTTCCCCCTTAAATAAATGTACCTCCTATGAATATCTCTAAAGAGATGGGTTTTTTCCTAGACTAGGATTAATTTTTTTTTTTTTAAGGCATGTTTCATTACTTTGCAATCTACTGCTGCCATCTCCTGTGTTAAATGAGGCAGCAAGTAACTTCATACTTACAAGCAGGCTATTTAACTTTGACCATATGGGAATGGTTTCTGCTGGTCAAGCAGAGAGTACTCCACCTAAATACACCGCAGAAGCCTGTTAAAAAGTTGGCATTACCTCCAAGTGACTCCGTCGTTCTGCAATCACTCGTTCATCCTTGTTTCCAAAGAGCTTCTTTGGAGGGAATTCTAAAGTGGCAAGCTGGAAGACATTAAAGGTTGAATCGGCATCAGAAGCGACAAACTCAAATGAGAAAATTCTCTTTAAACTACAGAGCAACTGGGAAGAAGAAAATGCCAAATATTCATGAGCTACACTATATGCTATTAGCAAATATCACATTACACATTTCTACTGATGTTATTATGATCTGGTCTGTAGTACTGTTAAGATAACAATGCATGTTGTCAAAAATGAGCAACAGAAAGCAAATTTAGGAATTAGACTGCCACCGTTTGCCCACATAAAGATTACAAAGTTGCAAACTGCATCTGATGTGGTAGCACCAACTAAGAAGTAAGAAAGATCTCTTCAGGAATTCTGTGTATCTTAAAAGATTGCATTCGGTCTCTTAAAAACTGTGGTCGAACCGTACTGTTGTGTGACTTGTTTGTCTTATGTTGTACCGTAACGTAAGATCATTGGATTTAAGAACTATCACTGAAGTTATGCCATGGAAGATGGCATTGCCAGACTCCAGCTGACACCTGAGCCAGACCTGAGGGACCTGTCATTGTGCCTTGAACTATGACTTCCTCCTTCACAGAGGGGACAGGCTAAGAGCGTGCACCTACGCTGTGATAGCAGCTAAGATGATGGGAAGTGGGACTTGTTGAGCCGTAACTCAACTATAGCTCAATCACATCCAAATGCATGTCCACGCTGGAAGCTGATAGCTTTAATTCTTGAAGAGAATCAACATGAGCAGGCAAAATCCCATTTACCACACTGAAAATGAAAACAAGGCAGCAGCACAACTCTTAAAAACAACAGTTCAGATCTGTCCTTTTAGGATTTCTTCCACAGAGGTGTTCAAAGCTGTCGTCTTATTTCTTTTTCATCCTGTAGGAACTGTGGCAAGCTACACTGGTAATGGAGAAAGTGAGGGAACTGTTTTCCTTTCTTGTACACCAACAAAATAAAATGCTTGAACAAATTCCAGCCAGCTATATCTGGAAAACACACAAAAGACTCAGGAGTTGGTAACAAGTACCAATGAACTTGGTCTGCTAAGCCACTGCTGCTGGGAATGATGCAAAAGAAAGCAAGTCCTTTCCACATAGTGTTTGCACTTGAAGGCACATCAAAACCAATTTCTGCCTAGCTCTCACGGTACAAGACAGAAATATGCAACCTCCCATTGGCACTGCTGGAGTTATTTTGCAGGAGAAAGCCCTGGGTAAAAATGCCTCCATGAATTCTCCTGGCTATTTGACGATATTGAGCTAACAAATAAGATGCATCATTTTCTAGTCTATCAGCACATACAGGACTGCAGAGAATTTATGACTGGTTACAAGGAGCAGCAATGTACTGAATTAAATTAGGAGCTTCATTATTAACGCTGAATGTAAGCATCTTTAAAGTACAAAGGAATTCTGCAATAAAAATAATTTTTTCCCATTCTCTGGTTCAACTCCAACTTGGATAATTTCAAAGAAATGCCTAGACGTCTTCAAATGAGCAATATAAAGTGATGTGGGGCACCAGAGGAGATGGAGGAGATGTGTGCTCTTCATCAGTCTCGCTAGCATGCCTCAATTATATTCCTTGAATTTCTCCAACCATATTCTTCTCGGTGTGCCTGCTTCTTCATGTTGGCAGGACAAGCAGTACACAACCACACAGTATCCTATAATTACATCCTTGGGACTTATTTTCACTGCATTACTCACTCCTTAACCCATACAGGATTATAAGTGCTAATATTTTCAAGGACTTCAAAATCCCACCCCTGCAGAAATTATATTTTATTAAAAAGTACTGCATCATGTCACTGCCAGAAACAAGCAAGGTAAAACAACTACCACCACAATCTCCTCCTGGCCCTAGGGAGATTGTTTTTATATTTATTTGCTAATAAATACTTTCATTATAGAATTTTAAAATAACATCTGTTAAAAAACAATCTGCACAAATAAAAAAACCTACTGCTACAACGTCCTCAGACATGCTCTGTAGAGTCAAAGCAAGGTATTGCAGCTAAAATCAGGAATGATTTCTTTATCTAAATTAAGTTTGATTTTAATAGGCATCTGGGGACTGCTCCTGCAAAACTTTGGGACAGGCAAGTTGTTTTCCTAATCTGTTACCTTTCTGGATACATCTTAGAAGAAAAACAGTTGCATTTTCTAAAGCCAGTAAGTTTAGCAAAACTCATTCAAACCGAAGTAGCTACTCACATAGTTTTAAAACGTCTTAACTCCCAAATCACTACAATACACAAATCTTTAAAACCAAGCTAATGAAAGTCCATTACTACAGTCATTAATTTAATATGCATGTATCTAAATGAAAATCGTATTTTCATTGCTGGTCAAGACTTGCATCTGAATACTTTGGACTTAGAGAACTATATATAATAAAAACCTCCATTCAGATCAGAACACCAGTGTGCCAAACTATACTTGGCACACATATATACCTTACTTATATTTGCAATACACATATGTGTGTACAGAATATACCTATACATACATATACATAAGCTGGAAGGATTTTTGCATCCCGCAGAGGGTATGTTACAAAGGACTGATCATCTACTGCAGTCACCATCTCTACGGAGCTGGATGCAGAATGTGCACCATCTTGTGCCTGCTGGAACGTTTCTGTCTCCCACTCTTTGCCAAAGGTCCTCTGGCTCCTCTTTTAGCCAAAGATTTAGATTGGCAGATGTCCATCTCACAAATAAACAATGGAGACCATTTCTGTCACACAACAGATGACCACCCAGCTATATAACAGAAAAACCTCCAGCCATAGATTTCATCATCGCTTCAGCAACTCTTGGAAACTCTGAACTATTCCAATGTGTTCTACTCCACTACATGCCAAGTGTCTAATCCCCACCAAAATGAAAAAAAGAGACATTGAAAACTCTCCAGGCTTGAGTTTCAGGCTGTCCGAACACTTAATGCAGACATGACAGCACCCGTTTCCACCCAGTTCGCAGCTTGAAAATTATCTTCACAACATGAGAACTAGAACCATTCATGCAGCAATGTGAATTATGCAGTCCTCTGTGACTGTGTAATTTCATTGTAATAGGAAGCTGGTCCATTGTAGTATTTTTTATATAAAATTACAATATTAATATATTTACCAGAGGTAGTGTGCTTATATATATACACTATTGATCTCTATCACTCTGACTTACAACGTTACTCCTTTAGTGTGGGGAAAAAAACATTGGTGCAAGAGTTCCACAAATACGCAGAGTGAAGATAAAATGTTCTCATCTCTTCTTTTTTTATAAACCAAAATTATGACAAGAAAAAAAGCCCAGCAATAAAAATATACTGAAGTAATGATAAGTGTTAGCATAATTGTCTATAAAGATCCTCTGTCCTGATGTATCATTTGACATAGGCTCCGAATGCAATTGTGTGCGATTCAGAAATGCAGCGATTCAAGAGAATTTTGAGGTTATTTAAAATACCTTACTCGTTTAAGCCAAACTGCAGTAGCAAATATTTCAATAAATTCAAATTTTGTTATTAGTAGTGCTACAACACCTTTAAGTAACTGCACAATAACTTCAGATGAGATTACCACTGCTACAGGTTAATGCACACAGCACAGTATGTGATGGAGCCGCATTTGTTCTGTCACTTAAATATGTAAGAGATCTGCCCGTGTAGATTTTGCATCGAGATGTTTGCCTTGGCTCAAACACTGTAAGAGAATTTCACACTATCCAGATTCAGGAGTATAAATTATTCTTTTAGAATTAGATGGCCGTGTACCCTCTGGCTCAAATTAATTCTTCAAGGGTCACACCTTGACTACAAGACGAACGTTTTATGCCAATACAAGGCATAACAGTGGGACTCTACAGGTAGCAAGGTAAATTATTCTACTTTCCTGAAATTTCTGAAGCACGGCCCTGCTCTCCCTGTCCCCCTTGCCACAGTGGCAGTGAAAGTGTTTGGCAGTCATCTATTTTGGCGGGGATGTTTTGTCATTTTTTGGGGCTGCTGATGAGGTGGTATGTTTTCTGTCAGAGGAAATTAAGAGGCATATTCCCCAGCCTAACAGGAAGAGTGAGCTCGAACGATTTCCTGAGAAGCTTCTGCATGTAGTGGGCAAGATTTCTAATTTTTATTTTGGCTGCAGAAGCACTTCCCTACTATACGTAATTATAGCATCGCTGCAATACAAATTCCATTACATACACACAAGTGTGCACGCACATGCATACGCATACCATGGGCAAGGCTGGGACTACTCTTAGACGCAAAATGCAAAGCTAGGTAATATTTTAAAATAGTATGGAGACACCTCAAGACTGCATATCAGCACTCCTAACGTCTTTCAGACACTAAACTTTTTACAGTTAATGATGTTTATCCTATCTGGCAATCGTTGCTAGGCAGTAGCAGTCTTAGGGAGAGGCAAACAGTCATTTGCAATTTGCTCCCTAATTTCTTTATAATAAATAAATGCTGTTTTTTATTTCTCAGTCTTGTATTACTTGGAGGCATGTTATTTGTTTGTGTCTCAGCAACCTTATCTGTAAGAAACGATACTTACCTACCATGATATAGTATTTGTGAGATTAGTATGATCAAGTTTAGACAGTACTAGGTCCAGTCCTCAAGGGGAAGGTGCTTCATACCTAGCAAGTATTATTCTAGTAAATTTTAAACAGCTTAATGGATTCCTATACTCCTCTCACATTTCAGCCAGGAGACTGGTTTTAACAAGGTTATCAGCAGGCATTTAATGCTAGTATGAGTAGATGGCAGAAGAGTAAGTGACCCTTTTTTTAGTCACCTATTTTATCTTACATACAACTCTTTGACCTTAAGATTCACCTAATTCTGGGAACAGCATATACCAAACAACATCTATATGGAAGCATAGTCTTTTCAAGTGAAACCATACGTCTTAGCCTTCAACTACTGAGCCCCAGGAAGAAATGCAAATTTGGATACTGGCCTTTTGGAAGCCAAGAGAATGCAAATGAAGGCTCAAATACC